ATATCTGCCCTCTCCTCGTATGGATGTGCTTAGATCGCAGTTACATTACCTGACTTTGGATCTGTGTGTCTCTTCACAGGTGAGTGTGGAGCGAGGGATGTCATGGGAGGAAGCAACGCATGCTTGGGCAGATCAGAATGGACCAGATGATGGTTTTTATGTTCAGGTATGAAAAGACTGAAGGCCTTTACAGATTTTATTTTTCATACGATTAATTTACTCATCAATATTAGATTTTTTTTAACTGTTTTTGTCTTGAGCACTTAAACACAGAAAGCGAATATTATAAATCAATGGAATTATTTTTGCAAAACGAGGATGATTTTTTCTGAGCTTTTCCATCGCAGATAAAGGCATCAACCAGTGATGTTACGCCTATACTCGGCCTATACTTAAGAGGATTATAAAACCATACAGATGCTCCATAGTCCGAACCAAGACGGCAAACTTTATTACTCCTTTCATTCTTGACAAAGGCAGCACACCAGATCCACGCCTTCCCTTTTTACCTTTCACAATAAAAGCCCTAGACATATACAGTGCATAACTGTTGACCAGGAGGAACTCAAAGTCACTAACCATGTTGTTAAAAGGAAACTAAATTAAAAAAAATGGCTAACAGTAGGACAGGCTGTACAACAACTTGCCTCACACCGGAATTCCACTGGATGCGTGTCCGTTACAGAACGGCAGCGCTTGTTATCCGCTGCGTGCTCCACCGTCCGTTAACACCCACCAGCTGTGTTTGCTGTGCGGAGCGGTGCAGCTCTGCCGGAGAGCAGGAGTCATGAGGACCCACAAAATCTCGCGAATTCACACATAATCGTGCGATATAACAAGATGTAGTTTCCACAAAACCAGGGGAGTAGTAGGAAGACATCTGGGTGCACCTCCATGATTAACATCTCCTCGTCCATGGTGTCAATGGGATGAAATGACGTCTGAAACCTCTGACCTGTTGACTTCAGGCCTGCCTCCGCCCATTATGACGTTTTCAAGGTGTAGTGCAGGGAAATATGATCCGCCGTGAACACTGTGCGTTTTATTGTGAAAATTAATCGGATTTTTTTTGTTGTTGCTGTTTCTGTGCACGACTTCCTGCCCCGCACGATCTGCTCTGTGCTGAATTGCTGCGTCGTGCTCCGGAGTCCGGAAAAATAGAAGTCTTGCATATCTGTTGCGGAGGGCTCCGGAGCGCCGCAGCTAAGACGGAGCCGGAACACAGCACAGCCACAGCCAGTGGAAACACACACATTGACGCAACAAACACGCATCTGGTGGAATTTGGGGGTCAGACAGACGGCCTGACACAGCTCTTGGTCAATAGGAGCACGGTAGATGCCACAGAGTGTTGCAACTGTCGCAAATAGTCATCACTGCTGGTGTAAATGGTTTTGATTTGTTTAGCAGCTGATGTGACATTTGGACTTACTGGATTTAAGAATAATATTAAGATTTAAGTAGCAAAATCTGCATTATGATGATCAGTGTTGGTAGTGCACAAATGCATCAAGATGACCCTGCTGTGTAAAGGAAGCCTTGTGTACTACACACCAAGATGGAACAGGACTCTTTGTCCAGCAACAATAACAGAACGACATCTGCTCGCATTGAATGATGTAATAACTTGGCAGAGAATGAGCTCTGCAATAATGCAAATTAATGGGAAGAGCAGTGGAAGCTAGTCATCCATATTTATCATTTAGAAAAGATTCTTTTCTTGGAGAAACAAAACTAAACTGATTTATTTTCATGTTCTTAGATGTGTGATATAGTGCAGTAGTAGTACTCTACACAACATCTTATTTGATCCAGGTCATGGGAAATTAAATTTTGTTCTTCAATAAAGTTGGGGGACTTGTGAGAGACAGATTTATAAAAAGTGGTAAAAAAAATTAGCGGAGCAGGGGCAGAGATTTCCTGACGAGTGTGGGTCAAACTCCAAAAACACTGGACCACTACATTGCCCATAATGTAAGTCAGAGGCATCTTTCATCAGACCCTCCCTGACTGGTAAATGCCTGTGTCTTTGTTTGCAAAGTAGGAATTCTGTTAGTAATTTCACCTTCAGTTTGGAGACGACATTTTATATTTCTCAGACTTGACACATCTCCTCCATGTGCAGCAGAAGACATTATCCAACTGTTCTCACAAGCTGAGTGATAATCCCCAGAACAAGTCAACAGATCTGCATTTATAAAATCAATGGAGGACCCTCCTGTGAGCATAATGTGTATTTTGTTTTCAGATGAGGAACAACAAGAAAACAGCCATCCTGGTGAAAGAGGTGAACACCAAGAAGAGGCTGTTCCTGGTTTACAGGCCGAACACTGGCCGACAGCTCAAACTGGAGACGTACGCAGACATCAAGAAGAAGTTTAAGAAGGTGACACAACAGTTTCTTTTATTAAAGTTACTCACAGAAGAACGCTCGATTCTTTATTTGACAAATCATGATTTGTTTTGTTGTTGTTTTTGCCTTGTTAGGTTTTGTCAGAAGATGCCAAGCAGCACTGGACCGACCAGCACAAGTTGTCAGCAAAGATCTGCTCTCATGCATATTGGTATGTGCTTTAGGTTCAGAGGTTGAAGGTGAACTTCTTACTTCAAAGCCTGATAAATCTTCTTGCCAGTACTGAAGTTTTTATCTTCATTGGTAATATTGATCTGCCAACTGACAGTATGTTTGCTTCCCTCAACAGGAGAGGGAACTGTAAGAAAGCAGCGGTGGGTCTTCAGTGTGAAATTGGTCTCCGGTGTCGGACGTACTACGTCCTGTGTGGCTCGGTGCTCAGCGTGTGGAACGAGCTGGAGGAAGTGCTCACCCCGGTCAGTGGAACCAATGTCAAGGTGCAGATTGTCCGCCTCAGAACAGAAGATGGACAGAGGATAGTTGGTGAGTTGAAGGACTGTGACTTTTGGGAAATATAGCTTTCTTGGTGAGAGTTAGATGAGAAGATTGATGTTACCTCTAAATTGATATTGTCCTCTTTTGGACATGAGGCCACATTTAACGCCTTCCATCATTCCCTATTCAAGACAACATGTTCGGTTTTCTTGGTGGTCCTAAAAAGTCTGCACTGAATTCGGTTTCCTTAAAAAAGACTTTAGAAGGTATTAAAAAAGTCTTTAATGCACTTCAGTCTTAGGTATTTGACACATGGGCAGTATTTTTTTTATCTATAAACTAAAAGTGGGATTGTTTTGACAGTAGATTGTCGGCGCAGGAGCCTGCTCCTTCATCTCTTTGGTGGTGTTTCAGTCAGCACCATCAGATCTGGACTTGCAGATGTTGTGGAGTTGAGGAAACTGCATTCTGGGTCTTTCCCCAGTCGTGCCTTGATGCCCTTTAGGGTTTTTCCACTGGCACTTTTTGCCGTGTTGAGTCAAACCATGGCACGTTGATTTGTGTTTCCATTGCCAGTTAAACACATCACATTTAGTCAGATAGGCTACATCATCACTCAGACAATTTAGCACCAGTATTCAGTGGAGATTAGAGACATTTTTAAATTGCCTCTGCTGCTGTTGTCACACATAGCAGACACTTCATCCATTTCAACTTCCAAACAAAATCTTACAAACAGCCTGAAAATTCATGATGATAAATAGCGAGCTACCAACAACAATAGTAAACAGCACTAAGTTGAAATTTATACTTCTGCGTTGAATTGATGCCGTAGCTACGGTGTAGGCTCTGCATCGGTGTAGTACCTATGCCGTAGCCTGATGTGCACCTCCCCAGAAATGTGACGCAGACATCCTGTCTGTCTCTGTAAGCTGAAACCATTTCCCTCAGTGGAAACAACGGTGTAACTGCAGAGTGACACAGACACACCACCACACAAGTGTAAATGTTCACAGCGGCGTAGGCCACATGTGTAGGGTCTGCTGCACAAGTATAAATCCCGCTTAAAGAGGGAGCTGCCTTTAAAGGTCACCAACTCAAGACATGCGTGTCATCATCAGTTAAAGACACACCTTCAAGCAGGTAGACCTGTTGTGGTCCCTGCCGTGCTGGGCTGCCGAGTCAAGTCAAGCCGACGTGTATAAAAAAGGCATTTTGTCCTCCTGTCACTGCCGATTAAGGTTGCTTGAGTATATGAAATTTTCCACAAATTTAAGTGGTGCTTATTCAAATTGAATATGGACACCACTCTCCTATCTGTCTGTTAAATAGCACAGAGACAAGTTAACAGCTAGCCTGAAATCCACCTAAAGATCACTAATTAAAATGTTATATCTTGCTCATTACTGAGCTTGAGGCGTTTTTGTATCTGGACAAAAAATCGAAGTGAAAAAAATGACCTGGTGTGGTTAAATGGTTTTATGGAGGGGTATGTGTGGGACCTGTTCTCAGCTTGTCCTGTCATCACCAAGACATCTTTAGCTTCATATTCACCGTACAGACATGAGTGTGGTATCAATCTTCTTACTGAACTCTCTCAAGAAAGTGAATAAGCGTATATCCCAAAATGTCAAACCCTTCCCTTTTAATATGTGCTATAAATGTCACCATCATTATTCCTACAGGCTCATAGTTCATTCTGTCTTTGTTTCCTTCACAGGACTGATCATTCCAGCAAACTGTGTGTCTCCATTATGTAACAAGCTCTCCACGTCGGACCAGTGCCAACAGCTCGCTGTGCAGGAGCTGCAGAAACGGCAGCAGCTCCACCCCCAAAGTCTCAGTCATGTGCCCAACACATAGTTCGGGGCGGCCCACATTAAAGCCCATCTCCACCCCTCGAGTTCACATCCCAGTTCTAAAGGGATCTGACCGGTCAGTCCCTGTCTCTGCAAGGCAGGCTCCAGGACCGCTGTCCCTTGTCCTGCGCCCTCACGCCCCCCACCCCCATTGTCTCTGAGGGTCGGAGCTGTGATGATTCTCAGATGTAAAGCAGTGGTTGTACAGAGAAAAGATTTCAGGGTCTTTCTTTTTTCTTTTTTTTAATCTCCAGAGACTTGTTTTCACCTAGAGAGATTTTGACGGGTGATGTTTTGTCCTCTGACATTCAGAGTGAAAAGATTTGTGATATATTGATCGAGGCAGAGTAGAAACCTAGAGGGCACGTTCACCTGTGGCTGTCGAGTTATCCACTCCTCACACATGCTTTAAGTTGTTCAGTCCAGACTACCTGGTGTGAGGTGAAGACTTTATCTTGGTTCAGACCAAAGGTGGATGAGACAAAGAGCACCACGTCTTTGAAAGGCACTTAATGCTAAACTACAATCCCATATTAGTTATCATCACTCCTCAGACAATATTCAGCACGGTGACAGAGCAGGAATTAGTTGTTTCAAGTATAAAAAGTGATGCAGAACATTATTTATGTGCTGATTTTCTGATGATCACAGGCCAGAGTCCAGTTGTGACGTAATCACAGACCAGTTTGTTCTGTCTTTGTTTTGCACATTAGTCTCAAATTGATCAATCTATCTTTGTTCCTCTTTGTCCACATCGTAAGTAAAATGATAGGTTCACAGTTTTTTCAAGTCTTAAAACTGAGAACAGCCGTGCATGAAATTATTGTTTTCAATGGTGTTGTCTCAACATCACAAGTTATTTTGTTCTCGGTGAGAAAGCTCGTTAAGCTTGAAAGCTTGATAATTTATCACAATAAAACAACTTGCCCTCTTGATCACAGGATAATTGAACAGCGGGCAAGTGAGCCTTTGTTTGCGTTTAATAATCCTGTGATCTTGAACACCAAAGTAGTTTTCTCGTGATGATTTATCTCACTATCTGGAGATAATTATTGGCAAAAAATGAACCTGTTATCACGAGATAATGAAATAATTCACATGTGATCTTAACATAACAGTGTTAAAACACTACTTGCAAGCATTAATGTTTTCGGCTTTCCGTCACATTAACATTGGAACAAGATCCGAGCTTTAATCATTCCTCCTTTTTATACCGGATGGTAAGAGATCGTTCCTAATGCGCTGTCAGAGTAGGTGATGAGGACAAAATCTGCAGCCCTCTTTTGTGCAAAATATTTTCAAAGTTTATCTGAAATGAATACGAGACTTCTTGGCACAAATTTCCCTCTTTATGTTGTTTAGCTGCAGCGGACAGACGGTAACAGAGAGGGGCTTTGGACAGGAAGATGCCCACTATATTTATCAAACCACGACTCCTGAAGCTTCATATTAACTTCAGATAAACTTTTGAATATGTTTTTGTACAAAAAGAGATCTGTGGAAGCAGTTCCACGGCCTCCAGAGCTGCATAGAGCAGGAGTAGAAGCTCACCGTAGTCCGACAGGGGCAGGTGACCCAGATCAAAATGTTAGAGATTGTCGTCAACATTGCGGAAGTCAGATATGGTGGCCTCCTCCCTGCTAACAGCATCCAGATTCAGGCAAACAATCAAGATTGATGAGAGCTCATGTAAAGAAGAGAGTTGACAAAGGTGTCACATCGAAGTCAGGTAGTCACGTCATAGGTAGGTGTGACTCTGTGACTGAAGTCATCTCCACGCTGTAAAGAAGCAGAAGTCCTCAGGAGATCTTTTGACAGCTGGTTAGAACAGGAGGAATGATTAAAGCAACCAGTGCACCTGACTATTGTTTTAAAACTGACTCTTAAAGTAGTGAACCTGTAACAGCCGACAGTTATTCAAATGTGCCTTTGCTTCCACAGTCAGGCACCTTTACAAAGCACCAACAGGAGTTACTGGTGAAAGATTTTAGTGTCAGCTGGTCTGGTGATTTCTATTTATAGTGCATGAAAGTGAGAAAATATTTCCCAAAGATAACATAGAAACAGTAGTTTTATTCAGGAGTGAGTCGAGGTTGTGTCATCAGGAAACAGGCTTTATTTTCAGACTGGAGTCGACACAGTGTACTTGGCGTTTATAACCAGTGTTCAGACTATTATTAAATGGTTTATAGCACACTGTAATGTAGTTATGAACAGATACAAGGATATTTTCAACTATTAAAACCTCCTGTGAAGACATGTTTTATATTATTACTCCCAGTTGTGTAGTTAAAACAGCAGCCTCCAGTTTTGGGTGCCCACAGGAGGAGTTATAGCTGTTGATGCACGGCTACGTTTATAGTGTGTTACAGCCATTTATTAAATGTTTCTACTTCTGAATGCTGCTTATAAATGCTAAATATGGGTTGCAGGAAGGGTTACTGCTATTTCAGTTGAGCAGTCGTGTTCACGTTTGAAGAACTCTTTCTTTTCACCCGCCTACGAAAATACTTTTTCTTCTGTAGTTTGTATCGCAGGTTGTATATACGGAAGCCTAGAACGACCGTGCTTGCTTTTATTTATTTTTTTTAGTGCTGTTATCTTGAGATTACGGGTTAAATGTATGTTAATGCTTGAGGAAACAGGAGGCTGATTTCTCAGAATACTGAATCACAAGAAAACGACTTGCTTCCTTTGATATTGGGCGATAATAATACGGATGACGGCTCGCATCAACACACTCTCACTCCGTCACATATCAACGTTTGGTCAAGTACCCTGCGTGAGTTGGTTGTCCGCCTGCCCCAGTCAGACTTTGACTGCCTTAACTTTGGTCTTTGTCCCGCCGCATTTTACCCCATGACGCCGCCGGGCGCTGTTAAAATATAACAGCAACTGGCCGCATATCATGCCGACGTTAAAGGACGCCTTCTGTTTTTTGTTGGTTTCTGACGCTGCACGTCACTGCCCAGGCGCCAGATTAACTACTTCAGAGTGAGATACAACTTGCTGTATAATTAATTTACGATCTTGAGGAAACAAGTCATTTTCTTGTGATTTAATTATCTTGAGAAATCAGCTTTTGTTTTCTCAAGAATCAGCATGAATTAACCTGAGAACACAAGCTTGGTTATCTTCAATCAAACTAAATAATCAACTCGTTATTTTGAAATAACTGCATTAAAAAACAGATGCAAGCACGGCCTGTCTCAGCCTCCATATGCACCACCTTTGGTCTTTACCTCGTCTTTGTCTCTAGGGTGATGTCAGCGGTACCTGTCTGGACTAACTCTCATTCAAAGGACAATAAATACATTAACAGCAACAATAATACAAGCAGCCAAGGACGTGTGAGAAATGTGAAATCCTTGACAAAGACCATCACGTTTTGATTTTTCTGACAGTCTCCAGCACTGTGCTTTGCTCATGTCTTTTTATTTTGTTGCCTTTTTTTTAAATGGACTTCTGCTCAGGGGTTAAACTCATACAAAGACCCTCTTTGGAAAAAAAACAGAAAACAAAGAAAATGTTCAGAGTTTTACAAAGTATCTGAAATGCATGACCATAACTCAAAATGCTCCTTGGACACCTCTACTTCAGTCATGTTCCTCTGTGGCTCCGTGGTTAGCTGTGTTCACAGCTCGTATCTTCACAGTTCATGTTTAAAAACACGTCTCTCTGATTCCTCTGCTGTCTTGAGCCGAGTCGTGATTAAAATGGACGACTGCTTTCTGTTGAATAGTGTACCTCCTCTGTTGTCCTATATTGCATTATATTAGATCTGCACTGGAAGGGACAGACCAAAGTCTGGATACACAAGCTGTCCTCATAGCTGAAGATAATTATAAAGATAGGATGTGTTTTCTATCGCAGTTTGCTCAGACACATCGGTAACCTGTGGATTAGTTAATGTTATTGACTGTGTATTCTCTTCTGTTCTTGATTGATGCATTTAAAAGCGAGCAAGATAGGAAGGAAGGAGTCTTTGTATCATACCAATGTGCATTTTGTACACTTTGTAAAAGGGTTAAATTCAGTTGGACAGAGGTGGGAGAGGCGTCACTGCAAAGCTCCGCTCTCTGATTGGAGGTCCAACTTGAATGTCCACCATATATAAGCCAACAACTCCTGTTTTTATTTCGTCTTTTCAGATGTATTATATACACGGGACGCTGACTCGGTAACATTCTTTTCGAATGCTGTCACGGCAGATCGGCTCCTCTGAAGTTCAAACACTTGAAGGACTCTCGTTTTGTTTTTCCTTTCATCCTTGCACGAGTTGCACTACTGACAGAGTTGTACAAAAATTCAACATGACCTGTACATGAATGAGTGTGATGCTCAATAAAGCTTGGTATACTTCTACCTCCTGGTGCTGTTTGTTGTTTTATACAGCTGCATCCTGTCGACAGATGTGTGCTGTGATCCCAGTGGAAAATACTGTAGAGAAGGTCGGGATTATTACTATTTAAAATTAGTTTAATTGGGACAAATCATCTTTTTATCACTGCTGCTTATATGTATCTGTGGCGCCTCTTCATTTGGGCTTGTTCTGTGAAACTGGTACCATCTCTAGTTTATTTTTGAAGTTTGTCAGGCTCTTTGGTGACTTCATGTCTAAAACCAGAGGTCAGATTCCTGTTTCACACATAAAAAGTCACTGTAATTTGCTATTTTGAATTTCTATGGTTCTCTTGCAGTGGATGAGCAGGAAAAAGAGGCAATAAAAACACTGAAAATACACTAAAAGTCCTACAATGAAAAGGTTAGTACAAATAAAAGTATGTACAGTTAAGTGTTATCAGAATACAGTGCTGAAAATACCCAGTGCACAATATTACTCCTGATGTATTTGTGTTTAATTATCATTTTATTGTTAAAGCTGGCTGAGATTGAGTTAATTTTAACAATTTACGTACAAGTGTTTAGATTATCTTATTCAAATGCATCATATTTTATCATCTTTTCATATGTTATATATGTAAAATCTTAATTTCTGATGTAGCTATAGTTAAAAATAAAAGTAGTGGAATAACAAGTACATTACATTCAACAAAATAATAACTCCCAGTTGGTCAAGGTCACTAAAAAACTACAGAATAAAGGAAAAACATTATATACATATACAATATATGTAATGTATAATAATATATCACCTGTAAAGATCAGTTTTTGCAGAACTACTGGTTTAACTTTACCTGGATATATGTATTCATCTGTAAATGGCAGTTTATTGTTGAAGCAGGTCAAAATTAGAGTTATTTTAAACATTTTAACTGTTTATACACTAGTGGTTATATTATTCTACAAGAATAGATCATATTTTTTTACTTCATTTTATGTATAAAATCCTAATTTCCAATGTAACTGGCTGACAGTTTGGAGTAGTGGAATAACAAGTATATGCCATATATCTTATTAAATCACCTGCAGAGGCCGAGTAAATACTTCTCCCACTACTGATACCTTAGTTACTCACAGTTGGACAAGACCAGTTAAAAAAAGTACAATTAGTACAAATTAAAATATATATATCACCTACGTTTGTGTACTATTGGAACTTTTTTGTGTTGTATCTGTGCTTGTACTTCAGTAGATGATCTAAGTACCTCTTCCACTACTGATATTTTAGCCAATAATAATATTAAATTTAATTTAAAAGGCAATTTCCAAACACCCAAGGTCACCTTACAGAGTAAAAAATAATGTGGATGTGAGTTGGGCACACACACACACACACACACACTGAAATACTACATATTGTGTGTGTATATCACAGTTATCCTGTGCAACTATCAGTCATGAACATCATGGACATACAGTGTCTGTATAAGTGAAAGGTGTATATGGTGTATTTGGATTTATTTCTATTTGATCTAATTTGTATTTTTGTAATATTACATCCTTTTTAACACTCAATCTTTTTTTATTCTGCTTCTGGCTCTAAAGCTGCAGTAATGTTTAAATTTCCTTATCTTTTCTCAAATACATGTATTTTCACATCAAAATTCTTGAAACTAAGACAGTTTATTTCCCAAACGTGTCCTTAACTCAGAGCCTGTTCACCCACTATCATGTCCTCCTGAGTGGGGGCCATCCCACTGCTCCACTGGGGGTCACAGGTCATGACACTGGGCCAGGATTGGGCCAAACCTGGTGCTTGTGTCCAACCATGTGGTCAAGAGATGGGACACTGAGGAGCTTAAATCACTCCTCATCTGAAGGGAGGAAGAAGACACAGCTACATGCCTCCAGGATAACTGTGGACTCATTTTAATTCTACTTTTCTTTTTACTTCATGTACAAACAGCCTCACACACACATATATATTTATATATAGGCTGTAGAGAGAGAGAGAGGAAACAATGGATGCGCCCCCACAGACAAAGACAGGTATCTGCAAACCGGCTCTCTTTTTCTCTTTTGACTGGAAAAGTGTTTAAATAGAACTGAAACAAAACATTTAACTCTCCTAACAGAGCTGGATTAGTGTAACCTATAAATAAATACATGTGCACAAAGTTGGCGGTGTTACTTTTTAAACACTGTGTTTTAACGCGCTGTAAAAACGTAAAAGACTTTAAAATGTGGAGTAAAAAGTCTAAAGACACTTCACACGTTCACTTTTTAAACCTCCTCTTTTTAAACAAAGTGCCGTCCAAGTGTTGTTTAAAGTGCACTTTCGGGTTAATGCCGGGTTAAACGTGTGTTAAAGCGGGTGAAACCGCGTCTGAAATCCGTCCTTTTCTCGTCGAAATCCCGTTTTAACCGTGTTTTTTTCCCTTGATAACCCGCAATGGATAGTAGCAGTGTTAGAAAGCATAGTGGGTGTCAATATAAAGTGACGGCCATATTTGCCGGTGCCGCTGTTGTAAACAAAAAGTGAGAGACAGACGCTTCACTGAATTTCGGGTCATTTTTATTTCTTTAATTTACAATGTCTTTGGGAATGTCTTATAAACCCAATGTCCATCAGCACATTCCGGGAACTTCTGGGAACCAGGGTAAGGAGAAAAAATGGCGGAAAATCAAAGTATCCGTCCGTTAAATCGAGTGTTAAATTCGGGGTCTCGGAGAATACCTGGAGAAAGACCGTGTCTGTAGTTTTTGTCCAGTTATATATATAGGGTCAGATCCTGGGAGCTAGGCTAATTCATATCCGCCATTATTACTAATGTAAAAGAGCGCCATCCGTGATAACAGTCGGCGGAGAAACGCGGTCGGGATGTGAAACGACACGGCGACGGTTCGTTAAATGTGATTGTCCGTCGTCCCGGGTCGCGGTCCCGCCGGGTGGGTGCCGTTACACGGTGACAAAAATGTATCAGTAGTGTCTTGTTGAGCCAGGCTGCCTTGTTCCGTTTCCTCCATGATGCTCCTCGGTCGGAGCTGCTGATTGATCTGCCTCGCGATGTTTCTGCGACGCTTCGAGGACACCTGGCGGCCGAAGCGGCGAACTGCAGCCGAACAAAGCGGCAGGGGAGCGGCCAGGGTGGAGGACAGACACCCGGCTAGAGCCAGGGCTGGAGAGAGGGAGCATTCATGTGTTTAAATATAAAGTAGTTTAATTTAAAAGTAACACCACAGTTTATAAATGCAGGAGTTTAGCTTTTAATGAAGCATCAAAAATAATACTTCAAGAAAATGTAAGTACTCTATATCAGTGATGGAGTTTTGGGATATTTATTTATGTAAAATATTCTTTTGCAGGTAAAACTGGAATTAACTATTGATGTTTTTACTTTAAAGTTGAAGTAGGGAAACCGGTTGTTTACAATTAAACTCCTGCATTCAAAATCGTACTGTATACGCACTCTATCAGGTGGAAGGAACTATTAACGTCTGCAATTTAAAGTTAAAGTAGTAATTGCCACCATTTAAAAATACTCTGTTAAATTTGTAACTATTGTATTCAAAAGCTAACTTCAAGAAAATGTAGAAGTAATCTCTGTCAGCGGTGCAATTAAGTATTAGATAATTTTATTTATGTAGCAGTAGTAATACCTGTTACAAGTAACATACATGCATTCAAAAGCTAACTTTAAAAATACTTTGTTACAAGTAACTAAAACTCCTGTATTCAAACTCTTACTTTAAGAAAATGTAAAAGTATTAAGATATTTTATTTTCAGAAAGGTAGTAATACCTCAATTTAAAAAATACTTTAACTCCTGTATTCAAACTCTTACTTTAAGAAAATGCAAAAGTATTAAGATATTTTATTTACAGAAAAGTAGTAATACCTCAATTTAAAACTCCTGTATTCAAACTCGTACTTTAAGAAAATGTAAAAGTACTCTGTATCACTGCTGTACTAACATATTTTATTTAAAGTAAAAGGAGTAATACCTCAGTAAAAGTAAAACTCCTGCATTCAGAGTCTTACTTTAAGAAAAGTAACAGTACTCTATCAGTGATAGAAGAAAGTAGTAATGTTTTTAATTTAAAGTAAAAGTATTAACACTGCAATCTGACAATACTACTAATATGAACATGTATAAGTACTCGCTATCAATGGTAGAGTTAAGTATTGCAATATTTTATTTATGTAAAAGTAGTAATATAACAACTAAAAATAAACTCCATTAAAGGTCAAGCTCCTGCATTCAAAATCTAACCTCAAGAAAAATGTAAAAGTACTTTCTATGAGTGGTGGAACTAGGAAATAGTAACATCTTTTATTCAAAGTAAAAGTAGTAATACCACAATTTAAAAATACTCTCTTAAAAGTAAAACACGTGCATTCAAAACCTTAAAATAGTAAAACCTCAGTTTACACGTAAAGTAAAACTACTGCATTAATAATCTTACTCAAGTAAAAGTACATTAGTACTATCAAGGAAATGTAAAAGTACTCTGTATCAGTGATGGAGTAAAGTAATAGGATATTTTAGTTATGTAAAAGTAGTAATACCTCATTTAAAAATACTCTGTTACAAGAAAAAGTATTTTCTATCAGTGGTGGAATGTAACTGAGTACTCTACATTCACTCAAGTACTGTACTTTTCAACAACTTTGAGGTACTTCTACTTTACTCGAGTTTTTACAGTGTAGTCTGCTGTTTACTCTTCAACATGTCAGAGGGAAATATTTTACGTTTGACTTCAATACATTTATCTGACACATTAATGTGTCAGTAATTGTAATCCAGTATTATCGTACATATTATTCTAAAATGGGCCGTTCTACAGGATGAGTACTTTTACTTTTTTTGAACCTAGTTTTGATGCAAATACTTTTGTAGGCTACTTTTACTTGAGTACAATTTTGAGTGCGGGTGTTTTACTTTGAAGAAAGTATTTTAACAATGTTATCTTTCTACTTTTACTTTACTGAATACTTCCTGCAGCCCTGCTCACTGCGCAG